AAATTAAAAATACACTTGCTCCTTGGAAGAAAAGTTATGACAAACATAGATAGCATATTAAAAAGTAGAGACATCACTTTGCCAACAAAGATTCATATAGTCAAAGCTATGGTTTTTACAGTAGTCCAGTATGATGTGAGAGCAGGATCATAAAGAAGGCTGAGTACCAAAGAATTGATGCCTTCTCACTGTGGTGCTGGAGAAGACACTTGAGAGCCTCTTACACTGCAAGGAGATCAAATTAGTCAATCCTAAAGGCAATCAACCCTGAATATCCATTGGAAAAACTGATGCTGAAGCTGAAGCTCCAACACTTTGGCCAACTGATGTGAAGAACCAACTCATTGGAAAAAATTCTGATGCTGGGAAAGATCGAGGGCAGGAGGAGAAGGGGGTGACAGAGGATGAGATGATTGAATGGCATCACAGACTGAATGGGCATGAGTTTGTCCAGGAGACAGTGAAGGACAGTGAAGCCTGGCATGCTGCAGTCCATAGGGTCACAGAGTCAGGCACAACATAGCAACTGAACACAACAACAACAAAACCATAATTAAAAAAGATACATGTACTCCAGTGTTCACTGGAGCACTATTTACAATAGCCAGGACATGAAAGTAACTGAAAAGTTCATTGACCAAGGGATGGATAAAATAGGATGTGGTACATATATATAATACAATGGAATATCACTCAGCCACAAGAAAATATAAGTAATGCTGTTTGTAGCAACATGGATGGACCTAGAGGTCATCATAGCCAGTGAAGTAAATCAGAGAAGGACACATAGCATATGATATCACTTATATCTGGAATCTAAAAAATGATACAAATGAACTTATTTACAAAACAGAGAGTTACAGATGCAGGAAATAATTTTATGGTTGCCAGAGGGTCACAGAGGAAGGAATAAATAGGGAGATTGGGATTGACATTTACAGACTACTATATATAAAACAGATATACCTACTGGATAGTACAGTACTATAGTACTCATAGTACAGTACATAGTACTCAAAACGATGTAATGGCCTATATGCGAAACAGTCTAAAAATGATTCACTGAGCTGTGCGGCAGAAACTAACACAGTATTGTAAATCAATTGTAATCCAATAAAAATAAACAAAAATTAAAAAGAAATGTGTCATGGAAACCCTAGAGTTAGTCATTCTTTTTCCTATACAAAACCCAATAATCAATGATTCTGCAACAAGACAATATGGCTAACAACTACCTGAATATTTTGCAAATCCCGTATTTAGTGTGTGAAAAACCTTTATCGATCAAAGGCTGACCCTCTATAGGTGGCAGTGAAATTTTAGAATATATATTACCAAACTTTCTTGAGGAAGATTTTGATATTCTGTGACTTTCTTGTTCACTTGATGAGGGTGTCTACTCAGGATAGACACTTTGAGACACCAGGTTAGATATTGAGTCATTTTGAGTAAAGTGTCCAAGATGTGACCATTGAAGACCTTGGCTTTGCTCTTAAATGGCAACTTATAACAACTACATCCAAGAACCTCTTAAAGAGTCTCTCTATATTCACAATACAAACCAATATATTTCCAAATCTTTCTTGGGAAAATGATATTTTTGAAAGAGTACATGAAGAGCACACACATTCTATCATTTCCTTTTCATGAATCTTTCTTATTTTTCTACAAAGTAGTTACAAAGGCAGAGGAAAGTGAATTTCAAGAAGTTTACTATAAAACAAAGCAGAGAACCAAGAGCATATAAAATATTGAGTCTTGTGTTTCATTATAAAAATTTACCTAAATTTTTATATCTGTCATGTCACTTGATTGTAATATAAGCATGTTTTAATTTACTTATTAGTTGAGTTATTTAAATATTTTCCCCTAAAATGTTGCATAACATTGCTGCTTCTGGAAAATTCACCATGTTTACCTGTGGCTTTATATAACTAATATTGAATAGTCTATGGGTCCCTGGTATTCTAGTTATCGATGGCTGCCTGCCACAGCCCTCTGCTGTCCCACCCAGAGTGAAATTTTGTGGCTTAGAATAACAACTATTTTATTGCTAAGTCACTTCTGTTCTGTCCAGCTCTTTGCAATCCTATGGACTGTAGCCCACCAGGCTTCTTTATCTCACCATTTTATGGGTTAGGAATTTGAGCAGAGCTCAGCTGGGAGGGAGACTCATCTGCTCCATGTTATGTCTACCAAGGTCACTGGATGGTCTTTAACTAGTGGGCAGGTCTAGGATGGTTCCACTCAGGTGTAGCACAGCTGGCTGGAAGCCTCGTTTGTTTTGTATAGTAGAATTTACCTTCAGTCTCCCTAGCAAGGCTGTCTTAGGGTAGCTGGACTTCTTACCTAGGGATTTTAGGGACCCAGAAAGAGTATTATTATCTGGAAGCTGCCAGGTTTTTCTTACAATCCCATCTTTATTTATTTATTTAAAAAAAGCTTTATTTTGTATTGTGTATAGTCAGTTAACAATGTTGTGATAGTTTCAGGCCTGAACAAGAAATGGACTTAGCCAAACATATACACGTATCCATTCTGCCCCAAACTCACCTCCCATCCAGGCTGCCACATAACCTTGAGCAGAGTTCCCTGTGCTATACATTATGTCTTTGTTGGTTATCCATTTTAAATATAGCAGTGTGTACATGTCCATCCCAAACTCCCTAATTATCCTTCCCCCCTTACCTTTCCCCCAGCAACCATAAGTTGATTCAAATGGTCAAACAAGTCACTAATGTCAGTCCTCATTTAAAAAGAAAATCAGTCTCCACCTCTCATTGCAAGATAGAAAAGACCTTGAGATCATCTTTAATCTAGCATCTCTTTTGAGAAGCTTAACACTCTTCAATGTGTTCTAGAATTAGGTTAGTTCACCTCATACCTATATGTGTGGATTGACTTTCTTCCATGTCACATTGCTTTGTTGAATTGGATCTGTGTCATTAGGAAAAATGAGAAGAGTAAGCTCTCATGCATCATTATGTATGTTCACTATTACCCAGTGGCTGCTATATGGTCGCCCGGGGGGAAAAGTCCTTTGTCGTCTTGATACCAGGAATAGTCATGATTTTTTCACTTTTTCACTCCTCTTAAATCAAATGCTTTAGCTTTGTGATTCATATTCCTTTTTTTTGTCCTTATTGTAGAAGGACTTCTTCAATTTTGCATTTTCCTAATTTTTATACATTATTTCTATTACTACTATCATGCATTACTTCTTATGCTTGCTTATTTGGCATATGCATGGCAGGGAGATAAATTTATATGCAAGATTTATTTGGCATCTGCATGGCAGGGGGATAAATGAATGAATTAAATTAAAATAAATCTAGAACAGGAAAAAACAAAATACAAATATAAAGTTCTAACATTAGAACTTTATAATGACAAGTTCTAACATTATTATCTGCTCTACGACTAACAGAAGTGGCCCACACAGTTCTGGTTTAGTTCTGGTCTCAGTTATCTCATTTACTGGAAGGACCTTGGCCAAGCTATCGCAACCTCTCTAATAATCAATTTATTTTATGACAATGAAGAATCATAAAGGTGATTATATTATAAAGTTATTTGCAGATTAAACAAGATGGTCTGTGTAAATGCACTTAATTTAGTATTTACATCTCGGAAGTCTTCTACAAATATTAGCTATTGCAATAAACTTGAACTTGTTATTTAAAATTTCTATTGTCATTAATTATGATTGTATTTATACCCTGTGTTCTCAATTAGAGTGCATTCCCTTTTTTGGATAAGAGATTATGCCATTTTTTTTTTGTACTCATAGAACCAATACAGAGTCTTACATACTCACAATACATATGCTTGTACTAATTCTCAGTCAATGGTGGAAAAACTTTCTGTAGAAAAAAACTTAAACTTGAAAAAAGCACCATCTAAGACAGGAATAAGAAAGCAATCTACTTCAGTTTTTGAATTTTTTCAAAGGCACATATAATTTATGGAGATTTAAATATATGGAGAAGAGCATAAATTTCTTATAAGTAGTATAAGATTGGCTTAGTTTCACCTTATTTATGCTTTGAAGTAATGGGAAAAGGAAGAAAGTTTAGAAAGAGACAAATGGGAGAAGCAGAAGAAAAACAGGAACATGAGAAGGGGAAAAGATCAGGAAATTAGAAGCTAAATAATTTGACAAATACTTACTGGACATCAGTTTAGTTCATTTCAATCGCTCAGTCATGTCCGGCTCTTTGTGACCCCATGGATGCAGCACGCCAGGCCTCCCTGTCCATCACCAACTCCTGGAGTTTACTCAAACTCATGTCCATTGAGTCAGTGATGCCATCCAACCATCTCATCCTCTATTGCCCCTTTCTCCTCCCACCTTCAATCTTTCCCAGCAGCAGGGTCTTTTCCAATGAGTCAGTTCTTCTCATCATATGGCCAAAATATTGGAATTTCAGCTTCATCAGTCCTTCCAATGAATATTAAGGACTGATTTTCTTTAGGATGGACTGGTCTCCTTGTAGACCCTGGGACTCTCAAGTCTTCTCCAACACCACAGTTCAAAAGCATCAATTCTTCAGCACTCAGCTTTCTTTATAGTCCAACTCTCACATCCATACATGACTGCTGGAAAAACCATAGCCTTGACTAGATGGACCTTGGCAAAGTAATGTCTCTGCTTTTTAATAGGCTGTCTCGGTTGGTCATAGATTTTCTTCTAAGGAGCAAGCGTCTTTTCATCAATTCTGTTTAAATGATTCCTAATTATGGCCTCTTAGAATTAAAGATCCTTGGGAAAGGTGGGACTTTAGATACTGTGAGAACACAGGAAGTGAGATACTTTGGGTAGGGAATTTGGGGCTCTCTCAAAAACAAGCACACTGTTTCGTTATTGAGTCCTTAATGAAAAGTGCTCTGAGCACACAATACACCTGCCTCGTTTTCTCTAACCAATGGAAACTACCACATCTCAGGTCTTTACCTTATGCAGAACCTCCAGATCCTTGCCAGAAGTCTTCTCAGAGCACCCTTCACATCCTTGTTCCTCAGGGTATAGATGAAGGGATTGAGGGTGGGGGTGATTATGGAATAGAAGAGGGAGATAAATTTGCCCTGCTCTTGGGAGTAGCGAGAAGGAGGTTGCAGGTACATGTAGATGGCAGGTAGGTAGAAGAGGGAGACCACCACCAGGTGGGAAGAACAGGTCCCAAAGGCTTTGTGCCGACCCTTGGAGGACTGGATTCTGAGCACTGCACGGGCAATGAAGCCATAGGAGAGAAGGATGAGAGCCAGGGGGACCAGCACAAAGAAGGCCACCAGCACTGCCAGCGTGGTGTCATTCACAGCTGTGTCAGTACATGATAGCTTGATCATGGCTGGCACTTCACAGAAGAAGTTGTTCAGCACCTGTTGCCCGCAGAAAGGCAACTGCACTGTCAGGATCACTTGAACGAGGGAGTTGCCAAAGCCACTGAGCCAGGCCACAGCCACGAGCTGCTGGCAGAGAGGGCGGTGCATGATAATGGTATATCGGAGGGGCTCGCAAATGGCCACGTAGCGGTCCAGGGCCATGGCCGCCAAAACGATGCACTCGGTGCATCCCAACCAGTGGAAAATCGCATACTGTACTGTGCATCCGCTGTAGCTGATGGTCTTGCTGGAGCTGCCCATGTTGACCAGCATCTGGGGAACAGTGGTGGTGGTATAGCAGAGGTCCAGGAAGGAGAGGTGGCTAAGGAAGATGTACATGGGGCTGTGGAGCTGGGGATCCAGGCGGGACACCAAGATGATGGAAACGTTCCCCCACATGGCCAGCACATAGGACACTAGGAGGACCACAAAGAGAGGGAGTTCCAGCCATGGCCTGTCAGAAACACCCAGAAGGATGAAGTCCTTAGGGAGATCCCCCCAAATGCTTTGGTTCTCACTTCTCATGCTGAGGTACTTTCCAGCACCTGGGATGAATTAAGAAAGTTGGGATAAAATAAATAAATAAATAAATGAAAAATTGCCTTTCTCATTCCTGTGCTTGCTCTTGCTTTCACAGGTTTCACCTATCTGATTTTCCTTACCTCTTTGAAAGTGAAATTGAAAGTCACTCAGTCGTATCCAACTCTTTGGGACCCATGGACTGTAGTCTATGAAATTTTCCAGGCCAGAATACTTGAGTGGGTAGCCATTCCCTTCTCCAGGGGATCTTCTCAACCCAGGGATCAAACCCAGGTCTCCTGCATTGCAGGCAGATTCTTTACCAGCTGAGCTATCAGGGAACCCCCAAAACAATGGAATAAGTAGCCTATTCCTTCTCCAGCAGATCTTCCTGACCCAGGAATCAAACTGGGATCTCCTGCATTGCAGGCAGATTCTTTACAAGCTGAGCAACCAGGGAAGCCTTACCTCTGTAGGGACACTGAAATATTGGGGAAATCAGAGCCACGAGTTAGAAGAGTTACATATATGTCTTGCTCTCCTTCCTAGTCCGTGACCTTGACTATGCTATTTAATTTCTCAGAACTTGAATTTCTGCATCTGTAATGTGGGGAGAAAGTACCTGCTTCAACTACAGAGTCTTGAGGATGATAAAGGGACATTAGGTTTGTAAAAGCAATTTTCTTCCAGTTTGGTCGAAGTCTGCCATATCTCCCATCACTATTAGAAGGTTTGAATTCTCTCTACATACTCATTATCAGGGCACTGATCACTTTCTTAGGCATTCTTGCTTTGCCTTTTGGAGGTGGTGGGGGAAGGAGCTTAAAGGTGGTATGAAATAAGAATTAGAGCTTCATAAACTGATAAGGGGTTTATTGATAAGAACAGATCCTACTCACCTCCTAAGGCTTACATTGCCTACCTGGCCCTCTGTACCATGCTGGTCTCTCCTCCCATGACAGCTCACAGATGTGCAGCACTATTATTCACTTTGTCAGTAAGTAAAAAGCACAGTCCAACATCTTCTGAGTGGAGGAGCTAAGTCATGCCCACCTTTGACTCAGTCATGTCAACTAATGAGACCCCAGAACATAGAATTCTGAGCAAACGGAGAAAAGTGGTCAGTGTGAGAAACATAGCGCCTCAAGTTCTCTATTGAAGGATCCGATTGCCTCTGGAGAAAACAGTTTGAATGACATTTGAATTCCCTCTATAACGTCTTTGCCAAGCGGCTGTTTCCTCTTGGAGTTGAAAGACACAACTGATTTGATTTCCAGGTTCTGTTGCTGTCAGAAAGCAACTGGGTTGCTATTTGCTGATTCAGGGGGCCTTACTACTGAGCTGCATCAGTCTCCAAACTTCTGCACTCCCCATAGGACTGTACACCCTCAAGATCTTGGTGGAGATGATATAATCCATGAAACTATTGAAAGGGAGTTAAGTCCTGTGTGCAGGTAACCTATGAAGTATTCATTTTAAAATTATTCATACCAAATTCAGCTCAGTCATGTCCGACTCTTTGTGACCCCATGAACCGCAGCACGCCAGGCCTCCCTGTCCATCACCAGCTCCCGGAGTCCACCGAAACCCATGTCCATTGAGTCAGTGATGCCATACAACCATTTCATGCTCTGTCGTCCCCTTCTCCAATTTTATTAAAAATTGGTATTTTTTAATGCCAATTATATTGTATTTTTAATTGGAGTATAATTGCTTTGCAATGTTGTTTTAATTTCTGTTGTACAACAAAGTGGATAAACTATATGTATACATATATCCCCTCCCTCTTCAGCTTCCCTCCCCACTCCCCACCAGCCCTCTAGGTCATCACAGAGTACCAAGTTGAGCTCCCTGTGCATACAGCAGCTTCTCTCTAGCTATTTATTTTACACATGGTAGTGTATTTTATATGTGTCAATCCTATTCTTCCAATTTATCCCAACCTTCCTTCCCCCGGACCCCATGTCCATTCTCTACATCTGCATGTTTGGTGCTTTATACATAAACTCTAAAATTCATAGAGATCTCTTCAGTCTAGATGAGGTAATAAACACATTTTCTCTCACCCCCACAGTCTTCCATTCTAAAGAACTCTAATATATTTGAAAAGAACTCAAACTCTGGGATTGAAATGGATAAAAAAATGCAAATTACCTTTCTTCCTCTGCTTTTTCAAAACTATATAATATTTTCTATAAAGTTTCCAATATCCTTGTGGAACATCCAATTGCTGCACTTCTCACCCCCATTCTACCAAAAGTACTTCTCGGATAGTTCTTACTGAATTTCATTATTTCGTCTCTAATGGGAAATCAGCACTCAGATTTTGACACACGAGTTGCAGCTGGGCAAAATCAAGTTTGCTCCCTTTTTAAAATGAAAAGTGATCATGTTACTTTCCTTTCCTAATTTCTGATTCTAAGGTTTCCTCTCAGAACCTAAACTATACAAGAAAGGGAAACATTGCAGGGATATTGAAAAAAGATAAAAGTATGGGGGTAGTGAAGTCGCTGAGTCCTGTCCGACTCTTTGCGACCCTATGGACTGTAACCCACCAGGCTCCTCCATCCGTGTGATTTTTCAGGCAAGATTACTGGAGTGGGTTGCCATTTCCTTCTCCTTGAGAACTTCCCGACCCAGGGATCAAACAAACCTGGGTCTCCCACATCGCAGGCAGACTCTTTACTGTCTGAGACACCAAGGAATCCTAAAAGCATGGAGGAAGAAAGAAAAATAGATACAGGCTATTGTAATAAAACATACAAATTATTCTTTTTTTTCAGATTTGGCTTGGCTTTATTTTTTTATCTTATTTGATTAAGCACTCAGTGTGAGTGAGATTCTTTAATAACAGCTTTACATGATTGACTTCCCTGGTGGCTCAGATGGTAAAGCGTCTGCCTACAATGCGGGAGACCCAGGTTTCATCCCTGGGTTGGGAAGATCCCCTGGAGAAGGAAATGGCAACCCACTCCACTACTCTTGCCTGGAAAATCTCATGGACGGAGAAGCGTGATAGGCTACTGTCCATGGGGTTGCAAAGAGTCGGACACAACTGAGCCACTTTACTTTCCTTTCATTTTCACATGATTATTTTATTTAGGGCTTTAACAATCCAGTAAGGCAGATGTTTTCACTCCTGTTTTACTGTTAAGCAGACTGACTTGAGGAAGATAACTCGTCTACCTTAGATTATTTATGTAGCAGCAAGTGATAATCAGTACTGAAAGCTATGATCTTAATCATTATTCTCTCTAGCACTTTGTTTTTTAATTTATTTTTTAAATTAAGGTCTAATTGACATATAACACTATATTAGTTTCAGGTGTACAATATAATGATTCTATATTCATATATATTGGAAAATTATTACCATAGTAATTCTAGTTAACATTCTGTTCCCATATAGTTACAATTTTTTCTTGTTATGAGAACATTTACAATTTATTCTCTCAGCAACTTTCAAATATACAGTACAGTATTACTAATTATAGTTACCATGATGTATGTTACATCTCCATTACTTATTTAATTTATAAGTGAAAGTTCATGTCTTTTGATCTTGTTAGTCCATTTTGTCCATTTTCCCACCTCTGGCAATTACCAGTCTGTTTTCTGTGTCTATGAGCTTTTTTTTTCTAGTAGTTCACATATAAGTACAATCACTCATATGGTATTTTTGTTTCTCTTAGTTCACTCAGCATAATGTCCTCAAGGCCCATCAATGTCACAAATAGCAAGATTTTATTCTTTTATGGTCCTGTAGTATTCCATGTGTATGTATACCACATATTCTTTATCCACTCATTCATTGATGGGTGATGGGTCATTTAGCTTGGTTCCATATCTTGACTATTGCAAATAATGCTGCAGTGGATGTGTATATATATCTTTTTGAATTATGGGTATAGCTTGTTTTATTGAGGTTCACTTTATTGCCCTTTTCATTTATTACATTTTTTACAAGTTGAAAGTTTGTGGCAACCCTGTGCTGAAAAGTCTATTGGCATTATGTTTTTCAATAGCATCTTCTCACTTCACATCTCAGTGTCACATTTTAGTAATTTTCACAATATTGCAAACTTTTTCATGATTGTGTTATTTATTATGGTGATTCATGATCAGTGATCCTTGTCCTCTTTTTGTTTTTGGCTGCACCACATGGCTTGTGGGATCTTCGTTCCCTGACCAGGGACTGAACTCAGGCCCTCGGCAGTGAAAAAGCAGAGCCCTAACCGCTGGACCTCCAGGGAATTCCCTATGATCAGTGATCTTTGATATAACTGTTGCAAACCAATTATAACTCCCTGAAGGCTCAGATAATGGTTAGCCTTTTTTTCCCCCAGCAATAGAGCATTTTAAAATTAAAGTATGTACATTTTTTTAGACATACTTCTCTTACACTTTTAATAGACTACAATATAGTAATTTTTATATGCACTGGGAAACAAAAAAAATGTGTCATTTGTTTTATTGTGATATTTGCTTTATTGTTGTGGTCTGAAACAGAACCCACAATATCTCTGAGGTATGCCAGGGTTGTTTTTGTTTTCTTCAGATGGACACTGAAAAGTGGAATTTCTGAATTATATATAATTATTCCACTTTCATTTTTTTCCATACCCCTTACCATAGTGGCTGCACCCATTTACATTCCCACCAACAGTGAATGAGGGTGGCTTTTTCTCCATATCCTCACCAACAATTGCTGATTTGTGTTTTTGGTGACAGCCATTCTGACAGGTTGTGAGGCAAAACTTCATTGTGGTTTGGACTTGCATTTCTCTGATGATTAGTGATGTTGAACACTTTTTCTTGCTGGCTGTTTATAA